TGATAACTATCAAAACGCCTGCCATTTGATATAAATAACTAATCAATATTTCTCCAAGACATTGTCGTAGTACGCATTTGTGCTTGAACTACCCAAACAGTGCAAACTACATTTAATTCTGCAAATTCTATCTGACCTAGGTGTCCATAGTTCCTGTGGTACACAACAATTGATGTAAAATGTCGTTTCGTATAATTTGATTTAAATCACTCTATCTAGACTAGGGAGCTTAATTGCACTCATACTGCTGCTTTTTAAATAGCGTTAAGCATTTCAAATACATTGAGAGTTAATGCAACAGAAATAAGCAGTCTCTTTTAAATTGTTATTTAAGTGTAGGACGGACTTGAAACTATGATGCCACATGAATTGGGTCTGTAAGAGAAATAAAACCAGGGTTTACATGGTTAGCATTCGTCAACGGTACAGATCCGTTAGTTGGAATGACTGAGTATTATTATTCCGGCTGGATTGATTTTTTGTAAATTCTAGGAGGACAATTTCTTTAGAGACTGCTATGTAATTCTTATTCTTGTTGAATTCGTGTTTACCTGGTGAGTTCGCAATGTTTTCATAATTTTAGGCAAAATGTTCTTGCCTGTGAGATTGCCTGCATCGACATCACGCCCTTCAGTAAATCAAAATCTGCTGATAGTTCTATCGCTGCTGGAGACACATTAGATGATGTGGAGCCTGAATATGCCGCCGTGGGTCTTTGGCTAGGTCACGGGGTTTGCCTTCTGAAGCTTCCTTCACTGGAACAGGTCTTCAATGACCCTCTTCCGAAGGAAATTCGCTCCACTGGTGCTGTAATTCTCCCTCGTTCTATTGCCATTGCTCAATTTGATGAACTACTTTATTTATTCTGTGTATCGGGGGACGGCACTCTGTTCTACTACAATGTGGATTACTCCGATGGTTAGTTTATTAAGCTCTTTTTTAAATGTTTCACTTTATTAAAATTTGTTTGAAAAAGTCAAGTCACGCACTCATATGTCGTGTGGGCTTTGAATCCATTACAACTGACTTTCCAGAGGAACAGCCTAAATGTAATTAAGCTTGCTATCAGCACTTGCTATGGTTCTAATTTAGGTTCAATTCATCAATTGGGAATAACTGATTACCAAACACTTAATCTTCGTAAAGGTTATACATTTAGATCTCATGAACTCAGAAACTCTTCTCAAGTAGTGCCTCAAATGAAGATTATACACGAATATTCGTGATTGAAGAATACTCATTCGTACACATGTTCTCTTAACTCTTGTTATTATATTGAAATGGCTTTTCAGCCACCTTCATGTTTATTCAAATAATACGGGACTAGTTCACCTTCTCATCGCTGTATCAACGAATTTTAAACCAACTTCGTAGAACTAAGAAGCCCTGGTTTTCCTACCTTATTCTCTTACGCACACATTCATTCGGCATTTCCTGTTGTAGGTAAAATTAGTCTCCGTGATCGCAAGAGCATGAAGATCGGCTCAACTTGTCAGGTGCGTCTAGTTCAATGGAATTCACGAGGCAAGCGCTACGTTTTCTTGTGCTCCAATCGACCCTACATTATCTACGAAAATCGCCACAAGCTCGTCTTTGCCAATGTGAATATTAAAGATATCTCCTACATGGCTCCTCTCAACAATAGTCAGCCTAATCAAGCGTTAGTGTTAATTTTCATGAAACTGCTTATTGAAGACCCATTAGGTCTTAGATTTTGCCACTATGGGAATTATTCTCTGTTGTAGGAACGCTAGAGGCTGGGGTCCTGTAATCTCTGGATCTCGGTGAGTGATTATGTTCTTTTTTGTCCCCATAAATGTTCTTAATAATTACCGGTTAATTTTGCTTAAAATGGATAGTAATAATAATCAACTAAGGGAGTGTGTATTGTAAGACTGGGAACTTCTGAATTTAACAACTAGGTGATTACGAAAGGAAATATACGCATTAGACTTGCCATTTGTATTTGCTACATTCGTTAAATAATGACCCACTTGTCTGCAACCAAAATTTCCCCCAAACGACGTAATCTAGTGGAATAGTAAAGGTCATCGGTTGAGTTTAACAACCAAAATCTACCTCTGGTATGCCTGCACTATTAAACTTTGCTAACCAAGTGCCCCAATGAGTACTGGGAAGCATAAAAGAAAGACTGCGTTGGAAGAAAGGATCTCTTAGTGGTTGACAAGAGTATGGATTATTTGAGACAAATAATAAGCTGAAAAGGAGATAGCCTATTAGAGTGGTTGAATATGAGAAGAGTGAATTTGGATTGGTTTTTTCCTTCTTGTTTTACAGAATCTGTATGATAACACCGAAAGGTGTTACCATAGGTTCCGTTGATTGTTTGCAGAAATTGCATGTACGCAAAATTCCTATTTATGAGACACCTCGTCGCATAGTTTTGCAAGAGGATACATCTTCTATTGGTGTGCTTACAATGCGCCAGGAAGTGGTATCCGGTGAGGGGCATATCATGTCACTTCTACCTTCTGCATCCTCAGATAAATCTGGAAGGATACCTCAGACCAACTGCGTGATGCCAAAAATGGGTTGTGAGTGTTGGCTTTTGTTTTCTTCCTGTTTGCTCATTTCTTCATTGCATTATATTTGGCCTCCACTTCCATCATGTAGATACGAAGAAAAAGTTTACTCATTTGGACTTATTTAGCCTCCTGATATTCTGCCATTCCACTTGGGAATTAAAGCACATTTATCGGCTCGCTTACAGTCCAGAGTGCTATGAAGCGGGCATGTCTCTGTGTTCAAGTAGTTTGGGCCAAGAAAGTGGCTCTCTCTATGTTCTGGGCACGGCTTTTGTTATACTAGATGAGCTTGAATCGAAGAAGGGTCGCATTCACATTCTTCGCTGGGATCCGAAGGTGGAGGAGTTGCAGCAAATAGGCATCTTCGAAGTTCTCGGCTCTCCTAATATAATTCGTGATTTCAATGGTCGTCTAGTTGCTGGTATTGGGAGCTCTGTAAGTTGAGAGAATCTTAGTGACTGAATGCATGGCCATTATCAGCTCATTTGTTGTTTTGTCGTTCTAGGTACGAATTTATAATTTCTCTGAGAATAAATTGACTCAAGAGTCGGTCAATAATGAGAATATTGTGACTTTGTATTTGCGTACGCACAAAGACTATATTTTGGTAGGCGATATAATGCGATCTTGCACCTTACTAAAATTCAAGGCAGAGCAAAGCTCATTAGAAGTGGTAAGTGTGTTTCTTTTTCATAATGCCCTGTTTTACATTAGATTGCCCGTCACAATTGTCCTCGCTATATCTCCGCATTGGAAATGTTCGATGAAGATCACTTCATCACAGCGGATATGGAGGGCAATGTACAACTCATGGGTCGCTATCAGACTGTCAGTTTGGAAGAGCCTGTTGTACCTACAATACGGACTGTGTTGCCTATGCCTAGGAAAGCTTCTTCTCCTTCTCCACGTTCTCCTGCTGAAACTACCCCCGGTACAAGCACTTCTTCCGCGTCTCGCCCTCAAACTCGTGCTTCGCTTTTTGAGCCAGATGTTGAACAATTACCTCCCTCTAGCTTGCTTGACCTCACTCCAAGATGCACGGCTTTCACTGAAAAGTCGCTGGTGGATCATGCCTTCATGAATACTGGCCAATCGATAAACATTTTTGTTAAGGGTGCGTGAAATTATTTCTTTTATATCCAACTGTCGTAATGGCCAGTGTGCTAAGTCACGGCAATTTAATTGCGGCCAGCTTTTGTGACGGTTGAATTTGAGTTTCCTAAAAGAGTGGCTCCAGTATGGACTGCGCTTTTCCTACTGGACTCTGGAAGCTATAATCTGCATTTGTAATTAAAACTCTTATTTGAATGCAAAAAGGAAAAAAGCGGATTTGTTATAGACTAAGAATGACTAGTTCAATCGTTATTCCTTTATCTATTCGCCGTCAGTAATAAGATCGGATTCTTTTAAAGGAAGTCAATTGAATAATGCCACGTCAATAACTGTAAGGAGGAGTAGCGAATAGAGTAGATAGTGCCTTGTCGTATGGAAAGAATCAATACTAAGATTGCTATAATTGAAAAATGGGTGCTTGGCTACTATAGCAATATTCTTCCTTTTTATATGCTATTTTAGGTAACATGACCACACTGTCTGCGGAGCACTGGGATTCTATTGGCACAACCCACACTCTTTACGCGTCAACTACCGGTTGCTTGGGCATGATGGTGAATATCTCGCCAATTCTCTTTGTTTTCCTGAAGGAAGTAGAGGAAAGGATGAAGAGCCTTATTCGGCCCTTTGGTGGACTTAGTCAGGAGGTATATCGCGCATGCAGAGACTGTCTTTCGAACTTCGTAACTTCTAAGAACATTATTGACGGTGAACTGATCGAAACTTTCCTTGAGCTGAATAGGGAAGACAAGGAGAAGATTGTTAAGGGACTGCAAATTCCCGTAAGTGTTTATTTGCTTGCTATTTTCTTGCAAATAATGATTTTTATTCATGACAAGGCAGTTTAATCCTAGTAAAGCATTTGATCAGGTGAAATCTTAAGTGGATCAAATTGGGAAAAGCTCTTGTTAGAAGTATTATTTAATAATACTGGCGTTTTAGTCTCATCTGGTTGTTCGAATTGTCATTCAAATGGGGGTATTTGACACCTAGATTTCCCAGTGGGTCCTGATTTTCCTTTCCACAACTCATTCTTAAGGCATGTTTTCCGTATTTCTGAAATGTGTAGGTAACTGAGGATGCCTTCGGTGGATTTGACGATACCTCCTACAATAGAATGGTCCCAACGAAGAATTGTACTGTCGGTGATCTAACTCGGGTGGTTGAGGAGTTGGCTGGTTTGCATTAATTAACTTCAATCTCTCTCTCGTTTTTCCTACTTCCCCCAAATACGCATTGTTAGTGAATGATGTCATGATGTAATTGGCCCTTTTTACGTTTCGGATTTAAAAGCTATTTTACTACCAGTTTGAATGTGATTTGACTTGATGGCTGTTTTGAGGTTGAATGTAAAAGCTATCTTTTTTTGGAGTTACATCAGAGTAATCCTCTTACAAATCCTACGAGAAAGACATGAATCGATTTGTAATAGTAATTTCTGGAAAAGATCCGAGTAATTGGATGAGGGAGTTGGAAATGAGCGAGCCGATGTGTGCTAATATGGGCATCTGTAAGGCACTTTATACAAAGTGAACTCCAAGAAACGTGTAAAGATTCGGCAACTTAGATTTCAATTTAGTTGTTTATTCTTTTAAAATGATCACTTATTTCGACAGCAAAATCAGTGAATCAATCGGACAAACCTTTTCATGAGTTTGAATTTTGTTTCCTTCATTCATTTGTCACCAAGTAAACAAGTAGCGCTCGCAATTCTGCGGAGGGTAGACAAAAACCGGAGAAGTGCTTTAAGATAAACTGGAAAGATGAAGGGTGGAGAATCTTGACGCTAACGTTGAGTTTTGCAGTGTTGAGGCAAGTATTGGCTCTATTGACAATTACACATCATTCGAATTGAGGAAAATTAAATAAATGTCAATAGTGACCTTTATATTGATTTAATGCAGACAACAAGCAGCAGACGACCCTCTTAATTGTTCAGTATTTGGATTCACAGACGTTCCTATGTTAATTAAAATGTGATTCAAGTATTACTTGTGTCACATGACGTTGTTCCAGTTTATAAATAGGTGTTTAAAGTACTTTTTCCACAAAGCCCAAAATGAATGACTAACTACTGGAGAAGGTCATTTTTTCAAATCCAACTGCGTCTCCCTCTTAATTACTAGTTTACTTCCAATTGCAAAGTTGACAAATTCACATCCATAGAATAATATAAATCTCCTAAGTTCAGTGAGGCCTCATCTTCCAATGTTTAAACAGAGCAAAACGCCAAAGTACCTCTTTTCCTAAGCCCTGATTCTAAAGCCTATTCCAAATGAGTTGACTCAATTTGAAATGATAACACCAAAATGACCAAAATGATGACACCAAAAATTCTTGTATTGTGCGCAGTAGGAAATATCATCAACTCCGAAATATGTTGAGAGTACATTTTGCTTCTATAGCATTCGTGTTACTGATAGATCAGCATTATGTTGCTTAAAATAATGGGCAAATTTTCACGAATCAGACGGACTTTTTTAGTTGATTTCAAATGATTAGTCATGCTCTTTTTTGAGAAATATATTTAAGCAACTAGCAACCTGGTTCAGAATTTTAATGTTTTCGTTTTTCTGCACTTCTTAATTCAGTTTGTTAATGAAAGCCTACTTCATAAATTGACATAAAATTTGGTCAGTATGAAAATCCTGTTCTGCAGGCACATTCCGAGTTCACATATCTCGGAATGACGTTCGACACAAAGCAAACGTGGAAAAGTCACATTACTAAAATAGCAGAACGAGTTTCCAATAGACTGAATGTCCTGAAGCGTCTTGCTGGTAGCGTATGGGGCTGTGCACGCTCAACTCTAAACACCACTTACAAGATGTTTATTCAGCCAATAATGTTGTATTGCTGTGAGCCACTCATTACAGCCACAGAGGTGACTCAAACCACTCGAGAAGGCACACAATCAGGCATTACGACTAATTACTGGAGGGATAAAATCAACACCCATTGATGCAATGCTCCTAGTTACAGGAAGCACTACAATATGTTCCCTTATCAAAGAGAAGGCCTTGATCCTGTATGAGAAGCTACTGCGCATTCCCATGGACAAGTTCTTCAGCACCTATGAGAATAGACCAAGACATCTGAAAACGCAATCTGGTCTAAAACAGAAAGACATAGAACTGAAGAAAGCGTTACAAACCGATGATAAACCAAAAAGCCTCTTTCTCCCCATGAACCCATTAGCAGACATTGATGTAGTGTGTCGCACCCAACTGCTCGACTTCTTCAGGAAATCAAACACTCCTCCAGAGCAAATGCGCTCACCGGCCCTTGAGACAATCGATGTCAACTAACCTGGAGAACAATGGCTCCAAGTCTTCACTGATGGATCATACATAGGAAGCCAAGCAAACGTTGGTGCAGGTGTCTATTCTGAACTCTTCTCTTTCTACGCAGCAGCGGGACACAATAGATCCGCTTTTGAAGGAGAAATAGAGGCTATTAGGATAGCACTATGCCAATTATGTTGCCTGGATACGGAATTCACCAAAGCGGTGATGCTTTCGGACTCACAGTCAGCAATAGACTCTATTGGAAACAGAGAGACACCCAAACAGCTGAGATAAAGGAATGTAGAAAACTCTATGAGCTGCTGAGAGAGAAAAACAAAACAGTGGTCCTACAATGGATTCCTGGTCACTGTGGCATTAAAGGCAATGAGATTGCTGACACACTCGCTAAGAAGGGGACAACGATTTTGCAATCCATGGACCGTCCGATGTCTTTCCACACAATGAAGGCCTTAATCAGGAGAGAATTCCAGACCTCAAGGTTCAACGAACTCAAAGCTCGAAGAAAGGAGAAACAGTGGACAATGGTACTCTCCGACATACCCGACTGGCCAAGAATCGAGGCCGTTGGTGAGTTTAGACTACGTACCGGACACGATTGCTTGGCAAAACCTTCACAGATTGGGAGTTTACACTCAACCCACATGCCCTCTATGTAACCTACAGGAGGAAATGGATAAGACCCACCTGATTCGGTGGACTGCTAATGATTCGGTGGAAGACTGCTAATGAACTGCTATTAATTATCTGCTATAAATGTACCCCCCTCCCTCTTGGGGGAAGCTGAAGTCAAAGATTAAGGGCTAATGATAAATATCATAAAGCCTGCCATTTGAAATAAATAAATAAATATATTATGCTACTGATTAAAGTTAAGTAAATTGAAATTTTCATTTAAAGTAATTTAGGCTGTTTTATCCCAAATGTGAATAACAAGAAAAGAAAGCGGTTGATTTTTAAGGAAAGCTGCCTCGTCCCATTTTGAGTCGTCTATCTTAGAGCACAACTGCGAAATAAATTACCTATTCAAATTTAATTTCAATCAATTCAAATGGTTCGAAATTGACCAACAGAGGCACTTATTTTATTACAAGCTATAACTGAAGCTAGTCTTTGAATACTACCCATATAAACGCTTGATAATAATTTGAATCTACCTAGAGTGTCTTTCCCTCGCATGATAAAGCACAACTTTCCATTATATTCCCAAAACTGATGGTAACTTTAGGGGATTTGGCAAAACATTATCTAAGATTTAACCCTGTTTGTCCTAATAGTCATACAGTGGGCCACCCCCCACCACCTGGCTATAAGTATTCATCAAGTTGTCTTACTTAATTTTGGGAAACATGTTTACGCTTTCACATTGTACTAAAACACCTCTTACCCACCACAACATAATGTTCCTAAGTTACACTTTGCGAAATGTAGTGATTTAGACTGAAAGTATAAACCGAATGCTCTACCATATAACATGTAATTTTCTCTCTCTAAATAACTACCACAATAATGAATCATGACTACGTATATGACATCGCATTAACGAAGGTACCAGCAAATGTCAAGCAGACAGGGACACAAATAGGTAGTAAGGCACGGTTCTCATTAATTCACGCTTTATGACACAAACAGGCACCTTTTCACCTGGGCCACTTATCGATAATATTTCCTAAATATCCAGTGAGAGTGGCCTCACTCTGACTGCTGATCTAACCACTTCAATGAATTTACACCTTCAAAGATTGAACAAATAATTTGCCATTTGAAGCTATAGGCAGTGCGCATGTTCGTGAAACAACAAAACGAGAGTCAACGAGAAGCAGAATGAAAGAAGTTGATGGAAATGCTTCCTCAGTGGACAATTTCAGATACCCACTCAAACACCACATCAGGGCCTAAATGTTATGGACCAAAAATTAGTATTAATTGCAACAACACCAAACACTGGTAAGAGCCAAACAGAGAAGTCTAAAGTGATCATGATTTGAAAATCAATTACATAAAAGGCTTATCACAGATTCTGCCATGGTTTAACTTAACTTTCGAATAATATAGAAAGCATCTTCACTGCACAGAGTCATTGCAATGGTCTTCCATAAGTTAAAAAATTGAAATGACAGAAGAATGCAGACATTTTGTCATCAAACCTCATCTTCCACCCATCGAACACCTATTTCAAAAGTGCTTTTCAGCTATCTCAGCCCGATTTTACATGACGATCTTTCAAATTTATCCATTTCCAAGGTTGACACTTCTATTTGCTTTGCTATTTCACTACATTAGTGAGATGCAAATTGAAAACCCACATCTTGCTTTAAAGCTAAGAGAAAATATTCTCATAAAACGAGTTAAAATTAATTGTCGTAAAACCAATGTGTGGGCTAATGAAGTGTTTTGGGAAATTTATTATCAGATTCTTTGATTTTGTTTGTGTTCAAATACTTCTAACTTCTAGTGCAAATACCAACACGTATGCACTTGAAGTATAATTCACACCCAGACAATGCAACGAATAACCCACACCTCACAGAAAGACCATGCTCAAGGCTAATAGGAATGATATGTGCTCACCACTGCTCGAAGACCGAAATATCTCAGGTGTAATTCAAATTGCTGCTTCCCACAAACCTTCTCTTCAGTTTTTTTGCTATTTTAATAAATACGAGATTCCTGAAAAGAAACTAGAAGAGTTCCTCCGTTAATTCATTTCTCTCGGGTGGGAGTTAATTGACGCATAAATTTCAGAAATTCAGTAGAACCATCCTTGAGGGTTTATGACTATTCCGACTAAACATCAAACGCGATTGATTGACTGGGCCTGAGGAAAGACATTTGAGTTCATTTTCTTTGAGAAGTAATGAATCAAGACTACGCTGCATTTTTT